ACTTAGATCCTTTGGAATCTCAACTGCTTTCACGTTTTCTTTCAGCTTCAAAGCAAACTGAGGGTCATAGAGGGATTGAATCAAAAAAAAGAAAAGGGCTGATACCCTGGGTCCACTATTTGGGAGGAAGCATTGGTGGCGTGGTGAGTATACAGTACGTAGTACTGGGACACACATGGCCTCCCTTATTGTCCCTTCTAACTCCCACACTAAAGAGACCCAGTGAGATAGAGAATAAGACAATTGTGCAATTAAATCCTATTCTTTTTAAGATTTTATCATAGATTATGTGCATTCACTGGAGACAGTGAGAGGGAAAGTGAGAAATCACTCCCCAGGGAGTATGGCTATGCTGCAATCCCTTCTCCTCCATTCTCCTTCTGGGATTATGGGCATGCACCCACATGTACCTGGTGTGGTCCTCAAGCAGGCAGGTCTGAGACTCAAACCCTGGTCAACCATGTAGGAGTCGGGCGGCTTAACCACCATGCCACCTACTGCACCTTAAATTCTAATTTTAAATGCATTTATCTGTACAACTGAGGAAGTGTTGACTTATCTGGAAAATAGTTTTAATTCTCACTTATTTTAACTAGATTGTTCCTAGAAGTCAATGGAAAACCTTTGATTCAAAGTCTGACATCCTTTCCCCCTTGCCCTCCAGTTGGATATCTCTGGCCCCTCTCAGATTTGGGTACCAGACTCAAGATTTACTACAAAGTAGCAGGAGGGAAGAACAGTTTCAAGTGGAAAAATAAAGACCTGTCTCATTAGTGCCCACTGAAAGATATGCTAATGACGAAAATTCAAAGTCAAATAAGAAGAGTATTCTCGTTACACACATCACATTGTTTGCTTTAGAGTTTTTCAATTCAAAATATAATAATTTTTTTTGGAGAGGTTTTCGCTATAGGGCGAGTGCACTCGCCAGACAGACAGAGAGAGACATAGAGACAGAAAGCGAGAAATGACCCCCCCCCTCGGGGGGATGGTCACACCGCAATCCCTTTTTCTCCATTGTCCTCTTGGGATCTTGGGCACGCACTCACGCGGCCCACCATGAGTTTTAAGCCACTGGGTCTGGGATGCGAACCACGGTCGACTACATGGGAGTCCAGCGACATAGCCATTATGCTAACTGCTGGTTCCCTCAAAATATAATTTATTGGGGCCAGCAGGCGGTGTGGTGGATAAGGGCGCTGGATTCCCACATGGCCAACCATGGTTCAAGTCCCAGACTTGGTGGCTTGCTTTCTCGTGTTCCCTTTTTCTCTCTCTCTCTGGTGGTCAAATAAAAAAAATAACTAACAATAACAAATGGGATTAAATAAATAAATGATTCTTTTAAAAATATATAATTTATTTTGTTTTATCTCCAACAGAGAATTAATTTTAAAAATGAATATGTTCCAATACATTAAATGCCATATAATTCATGTTCACATCCTTGGAGTTAAGAAAGGCTCATCTTTTTTTTTTTTTTTTTTCATAAGGGGATGCAATGGCTTAAACATTCTTATCACCAAACCAAATTCAGCCCTTGGCATGCTTCTGAAACCGCGGGGAAGTCTCAGCTATTTAACAAGAACAAGGTGACCTGTGTTCTCCGCGGCACAACCGCGTTTCTGCAAGAGAAAGGGGAAGAGGGCAGGCGAGGACCTCCAATAACAGCGAGGACTATCAGGACGTCCTGCTAATAAACGACTTTTTCACTGTCCACACTATAATTGGTTTACAGCCTTTTTTGTTTATTTATCCATAAGAGCTGCTGTTAAATGGCTCGGGAAGGAGCTCGCCTAATGGCTCGGTATCGCTGCTGGGCCTGTCGCGGGTCAGGCGGCGTGGAGGGGGCGCAGGCGTCAGCGGGGATTCAGAGCGGAAACGCATTTCACCTGTAATGGACTTGACGACTTTATGATCCCAGGAGCTGTATCCACAGAGAAACAAAATACACGATCTTGCTCACTGGAGGGTCCTGCGGGAGACGTTTTTCAAATAGATGTTGGGACAATCGGCCAATCAAAAAATCCTAGTTTTGTCCCACCTAATACTCATAATAAATGGCCGTTTAGCCTTTGTTTCCTGGGTCCCCTCTTTAAGTAGCAGGCAGCAGAAAACGCCAATTGTGAAAATGAGAACTGGCCAACAAGAAACCCAACACTCATACCTTCCGCCACGTTTTTTGCTCAGCCAGGGATACGAGGTATTTTGCCCACGAGCGCAGTGTGCGGATTTACTTTCTGCTGAGAGCCTCTTTTCTTTCTGCAGGACCGAGCAAAAATATTAAATGGAAGCAAATGAAGCATCGAAATGGAGACCAATTTATGGCCACGCTGCAGACCCCCTGTTCCACTCTCCTCCTGGGACTCTGGGCACTCACACACATGCATCTAGTGTGATCTTCAAGCCACTAGGCCCAGGACTCGAACCCTGGTAAGCCATGTGGGAGTCTAGCACCTTAACCACCATGCCACCTGTTGACCCTGTTGCAATTATTACTACATGCAATGAGTACACTTAATGGGACCAAGCTATTATTTCCATTTTACCAATAAGGACAGGGAGGCTTAGTGAAATTCTATAACTTGCCAAAGAATATATTGCTTGTGCAGTGTAGAGCCCAAGTTGGAAGGCAGGTGTCTGCAGTGCCTGTGGGCTTTCTATTGTACACCAAAACTAGAACATATTTCTACTGCTGATTTTTTGTCACTCAGAGACTATAGGCAAGCACACAGTAAGGACTCCATAGCAGTTTGATCAACTAATATTATTGAAAATATTGGTATTTCAAACCCATAAACCATGTGAAATATAGGAAGTTGAGGAAGGCAGCCAGAGAAGTTAGGTGAGCCTTCTTTAGGCTGTGGCACTTAGAGGTAAAGAGAAGTTCCCAGGGGAATAAAAGAAATTGAGCAGGGGTGGGAGAGAAAGAAAAAATTTTTCTTTCTTTTTTTTTTCTTTTGAGAGATTTTTGCTATAGGGCACATGCACTCACTAGAGAGACAGAGAAAGACAGAGAGACAAAAAGCAAGAAATCATCCCCCAGAAGAAATGGCCATGCCACAATCCCTTCTCCTCCATTCTCCTCTCAGGAATTTGGGCATGCACACACATGCGCCCTGTCTAACTTTCAAGTTACCAGGTCCAGGACTCAGACCGTGGTCAGTCACATGTGTGTCCAGCACCTTAACCATCACACCACCTGCTGGCCCCAAAATGAAAGCAAGAGGTTGATTACACAAGGCTATAATCAGAAGAGAAATAACCAGGAATAAGATTTCTGGACTGCCCATCCAGGTGATAGAATCAGAGATGGGAGCCTGGGTGAGAACAGGCCAAAGAGGTAGGTTCAAAATTGCAGGGAGGGATAGGCCACAGGATGAAGGAGCAGAGCAGTGGACCTTACTTAGATCCTTTGGAATCTCAACTGCTTTCACGTTTTCTTTCAGCTTCAAAGCAAACTGAGGGTCATAGAGGGATTGAATCAAAAAAAAGAAAAGGGCTGATACCCTGGGTCCACTATTTGGGAGGAAGCATTGGTGGCGTGGTGAGTATACAGTACGTAGTACTGGGACACACATGGCCTCCCTTATTGTCCCTTCTAACTCCCACACTAAAGAGACCCAGTGAGATAGAGAATAAGACAATTGTGCAATTAAATCCTATTCTTTTTAAGATTTTATCATAGATTATGTGCATTCACTGGAGACAGTGAGAGGGAAAGTGAGAAATCACTCCCCAGGGAGTATGGCTATGCTGCAATCCCTTCTCCTCCATTCTCCTTCTGGGATTATGGGCATGCACCCACATGTACCTGGTGTGGTCCTCAAGCAGGCAGGTCTGAGACTCAAACCCTGGTCAACCATGTAGGAGTCGGGCGGCTTAACCACCATGCCACCTACTGCACCTTAAATTCTAATTTTAAATGCATTTATCTGTACAACTGAGGAAGTGTTGACTTATCTGGAAAATAGTTTTAATTCTCACTTATTTTAACTAGATTGTTCCTAGAAGTCAATGGAAAACCTTTGATTCAAAGTCTGACATCCTTTCCCCCTTGCCCTCCAGTTGGATATCTCTGGCCCCTCTCAGATTTGGGTACCAGACTCAAGATTTACTACAAAGTAGCAGGAGGGAAGAACAGTTTCAAGTGGAAAAATAAAGACCTGTCTCATTAGTGACCACTGAAAGATATGCTAATGACGAAAATTCAAAGTCAAATAAGAAGAGTATTCTCGTTACACACATCACATTGTTTGCTTTAGAGTTTTTCAATTCAAAATATAATAATTTTTTTTGGAGAGGTTTTCGCTATAGGGCGAGTGCACTCGCCAGACAGACAGAGAGAGACATAGAGACAGAAAGCGAGAAATGACCCCCCCCCCTCGGGGGGATGGTCACACCGCAATCCCTTTTTCTCCATTGTCCTCTTGGGATCTTGGGCACGCACTCACGCGGCCCACCATGAGTTTTAAGCCACTGGGTCTGGGATGCGAACCACGGTCGACTACATGGGAGTCCAGCGACATAGCCATTATGCTAACTGCTGGTTCCCTCAAAATATAATTTATTGGGGCCAGCAGGCGGTGTGGTGGATAAGGGCGCTGGATTCCCATATGGCCCTTGGTGGCTTGCTTTCTCGTGTTCCCTTTTTCTCTCTCTCTCTGGTGGTCAAATAAAAAAAATAACTAACAATAACAAATGGGATTAAATAAATAAATGATTCTTTTAAAAATATATAATTTATTTTGTTTTATCTCCAACAGAGAATTAATTTTAAAAATGAATATGTTCCAATACATTAAATGCCATATAATTCATGTTCACATCCTTGGAGTTAAGAAAGGCTCATCTTTTTTTTTTTTTTTCTTCATAAGGGGATGCAATGGCTTAAACATTCTTATCACCAAACCAAATTCAGCCCTTGGCATGCTTCTGAAACCGCGGGGAAGTCTCAGCTATTTAACAAGAACAAGGTGACCTGTGTTCTCCGCGGCACAACCGCGTTTCTGCAAGAGAAAGGGGAAGAGGGCAGGCGAGGACCTCCAATAACAGCGAGGACTATCAGGACGTCCTGCTAATAAACGACTTTTTCACTGTCCACACTATAATTGGTTTACAGCCTTTTTTGTTTATTTATCCATAAGAGCTGCTGTTAAATGGCTCGGGAAGGAGCTCGCCTAATGGCTCGGTATCGCTGCTGGGCCTGTCGCGGGTCAGGCGGCGTGGAGGGGGCGCAGGCGTCAGCGGGGATTCAGAGCGGAAACGCATTTCACCTGTAATGGACTTGACGACTTTATGATCCCAGGAGCTGTATCCACAGAGAAACAAAATACACGATCTTGCTCACTGGAGGGTCCTGCGGGAGACGTTTTTCAAATAGATGTTGGGACAATCGGCCAATCAAAAAATCCTAGTTTTGTCCCACCTAATACTCATAATAAATGGCCGTTTAGCCTTTGTTTCCTGGGTCCCCTCTTTAAGTAGCAGGCAGCAGAAAACGCCAATTGTGAAAATGAGAACTGGCCAACAAGAAACCCAACACTCATACCTTCCGCCACGTTTTTTGCTCAGCCAGGGATACGAGGTATTTTGCCCACGAGCGCAGTGTGCGGATTTACTTTCTGCTGAGAGCCTCTTTTCTTTCTGCAGGACCGAGCAAAAATATTAAATGGAAGCAAATGAAGCATCGAAATGGAGACCAATTTACAGAAATGTGCAATTAGACGAGAAGTGCAAAGTAAACACTCCGGGGGTGGCGGGCGAGGCCACGGGGGGAGGGGTGCGGCGCGGACTGAGTACTGAGTGGAGGGTGGCGAGAGGTGGAGAGCGAGGGAGGAGAGAAAGAAGGGGGGAGGGGAAAGGTGGCCGATCTTTGTCCCGAGCGCAGCTAGCTGTCCGCTCATAACCGCGTAGCCAAGTCAACCCCAGGCGATTCAAATGATTATCTCCGAGGGTCAACACGCCGCGGCTGGGCAAACCCCTCCGGCCCTGCCCTTCTGATCGATGTGGTCACCCGCGGCCAGGGTGATAGCGGCGGGTCCTCCGCGGCGGCAGCGAACAATGGACTCATTGACGCGGGAGCGCAGAGATTAGGTGCGCGGGTCCCACGGCCTTTCACTCCCGGGTCTACTGCAGGTGGCCCTTTTCCCTGAAGAAATTCCCCCTTGGCCTGCCCTTCGGCGAGAGCCGGGGCATCCGGGAGCCCGTGCGTTCCCAGACGTGCACAGACCGCTCGGTGGCCCGCACTCACCCCAATACAGTTATCTCATGACAGAAGGGACCTGTAAAGAAAGTCCAAATTCCCACTGGCTCTTGATCTTTTCATGCAAATGAAGAGTATTCAGAACTGCTTACTCATACTCCATCAGTGTGCGTTTGAAGCACACATATTTCCAGTAGTAGAAAGTGTATTCAGAGCTGTTGCAGAGGTCTGGATGTAGGTGTGCATTCAAGAAAGTTCGCAGAGATTTACTCTTTGTGGGTCCTGCTCCTTTGCCGAAGTGTCCTGTCTTTCTAAAACCCTGGGTGGAGGTTTGAGATATGTTGTCATCTGGGGGGATGGGCGAGTGGGGGCCCGGTGGGCTGAGGCTGGCGAGGCTGCCCAGTTCTGGGAGGTCAGAAGGGTTCCTTATACTCAGGTTGCACAGTGAGCGCCACCACCTCTCGGAGGTAGTCCACACCAGTGGGTGTGAAGAAAGTGGCTCCGCTTAAATCCTGACCCCAGAGTGCCCAGAAGACATGGAAACGCAAAGTTTTAATTTCTTTTTCTAAATGTCCCACTCCCCTCCATGGCAAGTCCTCCCACTCCTGCCTCATTACAATCCTCCCTGAGTGTCCAGATTGGAAGATAAAGGATCTGAAACCGCCCCCCACACACACACCTCCTTCCCTGGCTTCCCAGCCCAGAGAGGGACACCTTTCAGTCCCCTGGCCACCTTGGAAACTACATTCTGAGTTGGTCAAATGGGCCCCGATTTCCCTAAGTCAAAATGAATAATACCTCTCGAATTAAAAAAAGAAACGAAGCCATTGTACGTGCTTTTGAAGTTACAGTTTACACCGTGGAGCACAACCATGGATAAAAACACGCAACGATGCTAGGGTTTCAAATGTTCATTCAACAACATCACCGATGGAAAGAAACTTCATAAATAAAACAGTGACCTATAAGGCTGGATCTGCAAGCTTTTTGATCATATTCTCCAAGTTAAAAAATTACAATATCAAATACGTTGACTTATAAACTATATTAATGAGCTAGTATGCACATCATCAACGATACAGGGAAAAAAGAAACGTTTCAAGTACAGTGAAGATGTTCCTATAAATGAACTTCTGATGTTTTCGTGCGTGCCCCGCTTGGGAGGGCATACATGCGAGGGCATCAAACCGTGCGGGAAGAGAAAATGGGAAGAAACGCGGGTGCTCGCGAGTACCTGGGCCGCTCTTCTTAAGGCTGTCAGCCAGACCAATAATGGCCACAGGCTGAGCCACGTGGGGCACGCCGGAGCCTATGGCGCCGCGGCCGGCCCGCCTGTCCCGGCTGGCCTCGGGGTCCCTCTGAGAACAGTGCGAAGCTGTCAAAGAGAGCGGGGTGGCGCCCGGAGTCAGAGCGCCAAGTCCCCGCTCCAGCTCCCTACTCCTGGCTCCTGGTCCCCAAGCCCTGGCTGCAGCCATGAACGGCGAGGAGCAGTACTACGCAGCCACGCAGCTTTACAAGGACCCGTGCGCGTTCCAGAGGGGCCCCGCGCCAGAGTTCAGCGCCAGTCCCCCCGCGTGCTTGTACATGGGCCGCCAGCCCCCGCCGCCGCCGCCGCTCGCGG